TTAAAAATCTTATTCCCAACTGTCACAAAGTCAAGAATTCATGGTTGGTTGGTGTGTGTACTTCAAAAAAAAAACAATCCAAATAATTTAGTTAACTGAAATAGGACACTCTTCTGGCACCATTAATTAGTTTGTGGGGTTTAAAGAAGTATGGCAGCTCTAGGGGAAAAAAATAATTGGGAAAGCTTTTATGTTGGTTGGGAAATTTCTGTGTGAGATCTGTGTTATTTTAACTTGTTGATATTTCAGTGACTACATGTTTCATTTTACTATAAATTACGCTATTTTGTTACATTTGTGAACATAGAATAGTACTGTGCAGGAACAGGCCCTTCAGCACACATGTCTGCACCAAATAGGAATAAACAATTAAAGGTAGTCCATGTATTTTTCTTGCAGATGGTGCAACATTTTATTGCTCCAGGACATCCCAAAGTGTTTTATAGCTAATTATATAGTTTTGAAGTGCCATTATTCTTGCAACATAGGAAATGTGGAAGACGATTTACACACAGCAAGTTCCCACAAACAACAATACAATAATGTCCAGATATCCTTTTTAACTATGTTGTTTGAGGGATAAATATTAAACCAGGACACAGTGAGAATTCCAGCTTTTTGCACAGTGCCATTGGATCCTTTCAATTGTTTCAAAGGGCAGGGGAGTTTTGGTTTAACGTCTCATTTAGAAGAAGAATACGATTTAAAGGGTGTGATCACCTTGGCAGCACCAGTAATGTAGTTTTCCTCCTTTAGAGTCATAGGGTCATACATCGTGGAAAGGGACCTTTCGGTCCAATTAGTCCATGCCAACCATGTTCTCAAAATAGGCTAGTTCCACTTGCCTGTGTTTGGTCCATATCCCTCCCAAACCTCTCCTATTCATGTACTTATCTATATGTCTTTTAAATCTGGTAACTGTACCTGCATACACCACTTCCTATGACATTTCATTCCACACATGAACCACTTGCTGTGTTTAAAAAAAAAAGTTGTCCCTCATGTCCTTTTTAAAACTCTCCTCTCACCTTAAAAATATGTTCCCTAGTTTTGAATTCCCCCACCCTAGGGAAAGATCCTCATTATTCACCTGATCTATGCCCCTCATTATTTTATAAACCTTTATAAGGTCACACCTCAACCTCTTACACTCCAGTGAAAAACGTCGCAGCCTATCCAGCCTCTCCTTATAACTCAAACCCTCCATTCCCAGCAATGTCCTGGTAAATCTCTTCTGAATCCTCTCCAGCTTAATAACATTCTTCCTATGGCAGGGCAACCAGAACTGGACACAGTACTCCAGAAGAGGCCTCACCAACGTCCTGCAAAACCTCAACATGACATCCCAACTCCTATACTCAATGATCTGAGCATTGACGGCAAACATACTAAATGCATTCTTAACCACCCTGTCTACCTGTGATGCAAATTTCAAAGAATTATGTACCTGAACCCCTAAGACTTCCTGTTCTATAATACTACCTAGGGCCCTACAATTAATTCTATAAGTCCTGCCCTTGTTTGTTTTACCAAAATGCAATACCTCACATTTATCCAAATTAAACTTGCATCTGCCATTCCTCTGTCCATTGACCCAACTGATCAAGATCTCTTTGTAAGCTTAGATAACCTTCTTCACCATCCACTATACCACCAATTTAGGTGTAATCCGCAAATTTACTAACCATGCCTCCTATATTCTCATCCAAATCGTTTATGTTGAAGACAAACAAAAGTGGACCCAGTACTGAACCCTGTGGAACACCGCTGGTCACAGGCCTCTTGTCCAAAAAACAAACCTCCACCACTACCCTCTGTCTCTTACTATCAAGCCAATTTTGTATCCAGCTGGCAAATTCACCCTGAATCCCAACTAATCTAACTTTACTAATTAGTCTATCATGCGGAACCTTGTCAAAGGCTTTTACTAAACAACGTCTACTGCTCTGCCCTCAACAATCATTTTGGTTACTTCCTCAAAAAACTCAAACAAGTTTGAGAGACATGATTTCCCTTGCACAAAACCATGTTGACAATCCCTAATCAGTCCGTGCCTTTCCAAATGCACGTAAATCCTATCTTTCAGAATCCCTTCCAAAAACTTACCCACCACCGATGGCAGGCTCACAGGTCTATAATTCCCAGACTTCCCTTTACAGCCTTTCTTAAGTAAAGGCACAACATTAACCATCCTCCAGTCCTCTAGCACCTCACCCGTGGTTACAGATGATGCAAATATTTTGGCTAGGGCCCTGCAATTTAGAGTCATAGAGATATATAGCATGTAAACAGACCCTTCGGTCCAACTCATCCATGCTGACCAAATATCTTAAATAAATCTAGTCCCATTTCCTAGCATTTGGCCCATTTCCCTCTAAACCGTTCCTACTCATATACCCATCCAGATGCCTCTTAAATGTTGTAATTATACCCACCTCCACCACTTCCTCTTGCAACTTATTCCATACACGCATCACCCTCTGCATGAAAAAGTTGCCCCTCAAGTCCCTTTTAAATCTTGCCCCTCTCACCTTAAACCAATGGCCTCTAGTTTTTAACTCCCCCCACCCTGGGGAAAAAACTTTGTCTATTTACCCTATCCATGCCCCTCATGATTTGATAAAACTCTACAAGGTCACCCCTCCGCCTCTGATGCTCCAGGAAAAATAGCCCCAGTCTCTTCAGCCTCTCCTTTCAGCTCAAACCTTCCAACCTGGCCAACATCCTTGAAAATCTTTTCTGAAGCCTTTCAAGTTTTACATCATCCTTCCTATAGCAGGGAGACCAGAATTGCACGCAGTATTCCAACAGTGGCCTAACTAATGTCCTGTACAGCTGCAACATGACCTCCCAACTCCTATACTCAATGCACTGACCAATAAAGGCAAGCATACCAAATACCTTCTTCATTATCCTATCTACCTGCAACTCCACTTTCAAGGAACTATGAACCTGCACTCCAAGGTCTCTTCGTTCAGCAACACTTCCCAGGACGTTACCATTACGTGTATAAGTCCTGTCCTGATTTACCTTTCCAAAAAGCAGCACCTCACATTTATCTAAATTAAACTCCATCTGCCACTCCTCGGGCAATTGGCCCATCTGATCAAGATTGCCTTGTACTCTGAGTTTCTTCCCTAACTTCCCATAACGTTCTGGGATACATTTGATCAGATCCTGGAGATTTATCCACCTTTATGATTCAATGACCTCCAGTACTTCCTCTTCTGTAATATGAACTGTATTCAAAATATCAATATTTATTTCCCGGGTTTTTCAGCCTCCATGTCTTTCTGCAAAGTAAAAACGGATGTAAAATATTCATTTAGTAGCACGCCCATCTCCTGAGGGTGAACACATAGACAATCTCATTGAACTTTAAGGGCTCTTATTCTCTTTCTCATTGCTGTTTTCCTCTTAATGCACTTGTAAAGTCTCTTTGGAATATCCTTCAACTTATCTGTCAAGGCTGTGGGAATTGTTCAAGAAGACTTATTTGATAGATGAGATTGTCCTGAATTATACTTGACAGACCCTTGACTTTACTACAATGCCACAGCGTTGAATAGCACTTGTTGCCACAGACAGACTCCATGCCAGATCTGCACTATTTTAGCCAGTAGCTACTTGTTCTAACCAAGGTGGGCATGACTGCCTCATACTTCATTATAATGTTTTCCCCTTTTGAATTTCCATAGTTATCTGCCCACTTAGCCACCCTTTTCTTCAGGTTTGTCTGTACAAAATATCATCATTTTAACTTTAACTGTTCAGTGGGTCTTTCTGCAGCGAAGATCTTTTCTGACACCTTCTCACAGTTGTAGATCTCAAGAAGTCCCCTAACCTTCTCAATACAGGACGCTCTGTCACTGACTGTAAGTCAATTTTTTTTAATACCTTCAATGCTGGATACTGAGCCAGCCCAGGTGACAGCTAGCATCAACCATGGACAACATAATCTGCAAAAATTCAGCGTATAATTCTGTGCCATTCCCCGGGACTGTACCTAAATACTAATGCAGTTGTATTTATTTGGCAGAAATATCTCATGGACTCTCCTTTTCAGAACCAACAGTACATCTTTCCTCCAAAATGGTTTCCAGTACTGTTTTTTTTTTCAAAAGTGCTAGTCTTCTGCTCATCTTGTAGATATACAAGAACTAAAATAGTTTTGATAAAAAGACCTTGCATTTGTGTAGCACTTTTCATATCTTTGGAACATCCCAAAATGCTTTCTAGTCAATGAACTACTTTTCCAGTGCAAATGCAGCCAATTTGCACACAATTAAAACATAAATAACTAAGGGTGGAATCTGATAAGAGTCTGAGCGATATGGCCCATGGCAAATTTTGAGACAGAATTGGGCAAGAAGAATGTTGACGGCCAATGCAACTTCACGATCATTTTCCTTTGCCTTTTATACTTTTCACAAGTGGAGTGGTATATTTCTCATTAGGCAGCGGTAAGTTGCCAATTAAGGGGGATTGATTATTGCTTATTAAAGGCTGTGTTCATGGTCCAACTCACCTCATTAATATTAATCTTCTATCTTACCAAACTTTCCAAACAAGCCAAACACTGAGAAAACTTGACATGGGAACCAGAGAGGGTACTGGGAAATTTAACTCGCCGCTTGCTCCGAACAACCCCCATGTTGGATACTGAGCAGCAACATCTCAGGTCAAGATCCACCAACCACATGAACCCCTTATCTTTGGACATTTACCATCCAGTACCAACCGCTAAGAACCAACATGGCATATCTCTGATTCACTTATAGGAGGCTTCCACATTTCAACGCTGCAGCAAGGACATTGCATGCTCAGGGACACACCCCTAGCTCATGGATTGCACTAGGCTGCATCTCTGGGCTCTTTGCTTGCTCTCTTAGTGCTCAGTCACTTTGACCCGACCTTGTTGTCCACAATATCCCTGCCTTGCATTGCTTTGCCTTGCCTTTTTTTTACTTTTCCTTCTCAGCCTGAGACATTAGGCTCATATTGCTTTTGTTTTGCCTTGCTGTTTAGCTCCGAAAAAAAGGAAGAAAGCTTGTGATGGTTGTCAGCAGACCTCAATCAAGTCAACAGGATTGCTTTCTTTCAGGAGGTTTTGGCACAGGAAATCATGGGCAACCTCCGATACCACTTCAGGGGTTTGGAAACAGTCAGTCAGCCACTTGTGGTGGTCAGAGTCAGGATGCTGTCCACAGAAGATGTGAGGAGGTGAATGCTGGCTAGCCCACCACTTGTCTTGACTCATCTGCATTCATGGTGGCCGCTTTCCTTCTGGAATGAGAGAGATTCAGGTATTGAGGGAGATGAAAATGGGTGACACAGCTGTTACTTTCGGTACAGGTGGAGAAGTGTCCTGAGCAAGTGAGTAGGCAGTGCAGAAGGCATGCAGGGTTAGTTGTTTCAGGAGTTTGGGTGCATGATAACGAGTGAGTAAGATGTTACAGGCAGCAGTGAGAGTGGTACGGCAGAAACTTTGGTGGGAGGTGGGTACAGTTGCACAAATAGAGTGAGTGTGAGATATCAGAATAGAGGAGGTATTTTCCTACAGTGCTACAGTGCTGAGCATTCCTCCGGAAGGCAGAGACTGGTTTAACCTGGGTGGCAACCTTGGACCAGACTGGCATGGTCTGGTGATGTGTCCTCCACTCCTCGTCCTGAAGGAAGAGGAAGTCCCACCTCTGCGCCACACCATCCAGCAGAGCTTCCAGGTCCTGACTGCACAGCGGGGTGTCAATATCCCCCTGTCAGCCATGCTAGGAACCGTGTAGGGCAGCTCCAGATTTACACTTGTGTAACAGTATAACGGATTTTTAAAGATGGCACCAGCGCAATGGACATTGGTGAATCCTAGAATATCTGCTGAGGTGCAAATTGTTCTGGGAATGATGTGTGGTAAGATAGGTAAGGAATCAGACGTGACAAAGCCATAGCGATGTGATAGGTAGTTAATGAGGCAGTATTGGTAATATTCAATGAAAAAAACTCACCAAGTGTCTTGGCAGAAATCCTTCTAAAAGCTTGATGCAACTTGAACTCAGCCAAATAAAAGTAAAATTGAGCCCTAGATTACAGAGAACTCATCTGCTATTTGAAAAATTTCATGGCAACTTTTACATCCATCTGAACAGCCTCAGTTTAACACAGGGCTGATATTTAGCAAAAATCAGTTAAGCCTCAGTTTTGGGGAGTTTCATGGAGCATTTCTTGAGCTCCAGCAAGTGATTTCACATGATTTTCAGCTGCTCACCTCATCAGGTAGATACTACACACCTACGCTCTGCACTCATCCTATTGGGTGCTCACCAGTGCTGGAAGTACTAACCACTGCTGGGACCTTCAGTGATTCATGCTGCCAGACAGGAGTAGCCATTAAGAGTGCATATGTTGAGGGAGAAATGAAAATGAAAAGCTTCTGAGGGCACACTTGTCTGACTGTCAGAATAAGTGCAGCTGCAACAATGAAACTACAAAGGTTACCCGACATTACACAATGTTAGAACCTGTCTGAAGGATAGCTATCCATTCCTGAATGCCTGGTGTAGCATAACATCTTGTCATTGTTCAATTTGGGAGCATCACATGTTGCACAGCCTTCCAATAGTGGATAATATCAACTTTTATTGAACAACAATTAAAGTGAATTTTTAAAAAATTGCTTCTGTGAGTAACCAGGGGTTGCTTGCATTTCGAACAACAACAAATTTGCAGTCAACAAATGATAACCTTATGCAACTTACATCTATTGGAGGTAAATGTCAATAAATCTCGTCTGGCTTGATGTGCCCGGCACTGCGCTCCTGTATCATGCTGAAGGTGATGTTCCTCCTGCTCAATGTCCTCATCCGCCTTCTTGGAAGACTGGTGCTGCTCTCCCAGCTCGTCAGTGTCCATCACAGCACCTCTTTGCCTGCTCCAGTTTGCACGGACAGCATTCAAGGATTATGTGACAAAGACGCTGGAATGTACTGCACGGCAACACGCTCCCCCATCATTGTCTCCCAACAGCTATCTTTGTAAGCATCCAGCCTATAGGATGTAGGTATTGTGGCAGTTTCCACGGTATTTGGCTCAGACTTCGAGGATGTGTTACCATGATCACATATGACTTTTATATTTACTAAATCGTAGCCTTTCTATTAATCTCAACTGCATTCTGAAATAGCATTCTCATTGTGACATATGTACCGCCAATAGCACCCTGCATCCGGGACAGTCCAGCTACATTATAAAGCCTCCTGCCTTTCTGCAACATTGAAACAAGATGAAGTGGTGTGACCTAGCACAAATTACATTGGTAACAGCTTTGATAAATTTGTGGGTTGCGGATTGATAAGTCCCACACAGGAGCCCACTAGATCCTTGGAAACAGGTAGTTGCATAAAAAAATTAGCTATCAACTTGACAACCACCACGACAGAATGGCCACCTACCCCTTCAGTTCATGAGTCCTACATCAGCAGAAGATAGTTCTGTGATGGTATCCCTGGACATCCTCATTCTGCAGCAGCAAAGCACCTCACTCATCTGGAGGAAATGGCAAAGAAGATGATAGTCTCCTGTCATTCTTCTGCACACTAAGGGTACCTTCAGCTGTGACATCTTCATGTGGAGGCTGTTCGACAACTGTTAGCAGTTGTTGCTGGTCCTGGTCTTGCTGGCACATTTGTTCCTCAATTTCTCCACACCTTAACTGCACCATTGCCACGGTGACAATAATCCCTGCACATTCTAATGAACCTATGTGGGGAATATCAGAAACAGAACAGGTCCTTTAGTATTGTGAGCACTCAGCATTTGCATCATACACAAATAGCAGTGTAGCATAGTCCTTGATACAGTGGGACATGAATGTCTCTGAGGAGGGACATGGAATGCTTGTACATGGTTCTTTGACATAGTGGACCTGATTCTGGTGTATGCAGCAGGAGCTATGTCACACAAAATCTCTAGTAGGAGATTGAAGTGTGGTCAGATTACTGAAACCTTGTTTCCACCATTCCCACATCTTCCAAGAAAGGTAGCATTGCATATAAGAGCATGCTGTCAAATACTTACAGTTCAAGGTCAGAGGAAATCAGTTCCATGCCTTTGTGCAGTCTTTGAGATCCTTAATTGTCTTTGTGAATTGCAGTCTGTAGGTGAAATTTTTAAAGGCCCCTGTGATTACTTCTGCTTTGTAGATATGCCTATGATAAATTTATCATGGCCAGTTACATATTCAAAATTGTTTGTGGCTAGGATTTGTATTCCTCATAGTTGGTGACTACATTTGTTTCACATACAAAATTCTGTGATTATAGATATTTTAAATCTGTACTGTGTAAGAGCCTGAATAATGCAATTGCTCTTTAAAAGGCCTCACATCACTCACAAGTAGAACTTGCATTCTCAAACACGTAATCCACTTACTTCACTCATTTTTGGTGTGTTGGCTGATATTTTTCATTTCCATTGTGCATTTGTGAATTGGCATGGAAGGTGGCACACGTCACACTTTACAGAATGAGTCACAGGCCCAGTGTGCTAATTTAGATTAGCCCCATAAACCTTCTTGCTCTTTTTTTCTCTTGCGCTTCTTGTTGACCCCATCAGTTCACCCAACTCTTTTGTTTAAATCTTCACATTGCCTCCTGTGCCAAGTGTACAGTTTAGTTACACCAATATCATAATACACTGCATTGCCACTTTTCCCGACAATAGCAGAGTGATAGTGACTGTCAATGACCACAACCACAGTAATCCATGTCCTCCAATGCACTATCGTCTCCCGTTCTTATATGTTAAGTTGCCTCCTCTATTACAATTATTGTCCCATCTACTTTGCAGCAATCTTGCTCCCATCCCCACAACTGAGTTCCCCAACTTGCCCATCTCAGCCCACTAATAAACCTCACTCGATTTTCAGCGAACAGACCCCCATGACTGACTATGGCCCAGTCCCTGGACCTCAATTATATGGAATTCCTGACTCTGACCATCCCAAGTAGCCGACTGACTATATCCAAGCCCCTGGACTGAGATTGAACAATGACTGACTGGTAGTGGAACCTCTGATTGATGACAATTCCTCTTGATTTGACTGAGATCAGGTCCTCTTAAACTTTAAGCCATAGCCATTTGGGTAAAGCATATTTAGTATGGCACTGTGTAAGCTGTTGTAAATGCTGTAGGTGTGACTTTGACATGATGTGGTGTTGTACAGCAACATGTTCCCCCTTGCCAACTTCACTTATCATTGCTGACATCCATGACAAGCCGACTGGCTTTGTGCCTGCACTAAATGCTAGGCAAGACAGAAGTATTGTGAAGCTGTACATTCTGAATGTGGCAGCAAAGCACAAAAAGGCGAGGCAAGGCAGAATTACAGCAACCATCTAAGTAAATGCAAAGTTGGTGAGTGTGAAGACTGCAAGCTAAGAGCCCTGAGATGAACATTGCTCTGCTGCAAGAGATGGGTGCCTGTCCCTGTGTACAAAATGGCCTAACAACAGCAATTGACTTGTCATTGCCTACATCGTTCAAGGACAATGAAGATTCTACCCATTGTTTCTGAAAGTTGGTGCCTCCAACACTGCAGCACTTTTGCAGAATGGCACTTGCAATGTCATCCTACAAGTTTAATTCCATAAGTGTGGTTCAGACATCACTTAGATGCAAGAATGCTATCAATGAGCCCAGGCTGATAGAGGTAAAATGGATTCTTGACAAGATGGTGAAAGAGCTTCACTCGTGCACAGGGCAAGGATATATTTATTTCCCTGTGCCAAGGTTTTTTTTTTCAGTTGTAAAGCTAAGGGTGAGGTGTCAAGGGTCAAACAATAGGACATCACTGAGGTTGAAAAGAATGAAAAGTGATGACAATTAAGGAAATAGTGTCAGCTATGATCCAAGTGCAAACCATCAACAGCTAGTTCCAGCTTGCTGCTGGGAAGAGATCAAACTACCGTTTCTGCTATGAAAGAATAATTCTCCTTGTTATATTAATAAATATAACATCTCTGAGATGATACTTGTTTATATATAAACTCTAACACCATAAATAAGTGTGCGTGATTAACTCCAGTGCAGGAAAATAAATGGATGTGGAATAATTAAATTATTCCGCTTGCCATGTTTGATCATGATCTTACTTAGCTTTGATGGGTACACACCCAAGCTTTTGTTTGCCATTTTAAAGGTTACATTTCACTGAAAGGTTTTGTGAAGTTACAACAAATCTGAAACATAAAAGGAGTAAAGTACATGTACAACTCTTATTATATATTGATTTACCACTATCATCTAGCACCCTGGAGCATATCACAATGAATTGTATTCTTTTATAGTTTTGCCATTGTTACTGAGTAGCAGCTAATTCTAACACTGCCAAATTCTATGTATCACTACATTGAAAAAAAATACTTGCCAATGGTCTAAATTTGTGTCCTCTACTTATTGATACTCCTGCCAGTTGAGTTTGTCCCTATTCACATTTGGAAAAAGATGATCTGATTCACAATGCCAAAAGCTGCAAAAGCTGCTGAGAGATTAGTGCATCAGGGTGGGAAAATGCTTCGGTTACAAGAATGTCATTTGTGACTTTCTTTAGAGCCATTGCAATGATACAGCTGTACAAAGGCTGACTTAAGGGGCTCAAGCATGACATTGCAAATGAGGCAGGCTTAGATTTTGGGAGAAACAACATGAAACAACAAGAATTTTGGACAGGAAATGGGAAATTATAAATGGTTAGTAGTTTGCAACAATAATGGAGTTTAGTATAGACTTTGGAGATGAGTGCTGACAATATATAGAATCCAGAGAGAACTTGATTACAAAGAATCATTTACAATATCTGCTAGCACAGGGGCCAGGAAAAGAAATTGGGTAGTTAGTACATTAGTGAGGATGGGATCAAGGGAGCAGTTCTGAATACAGAATAATTAATGGAATGTATATAGTTACTACTTGATTATTTGGTGCTGTGAAACTTTTGTACCAGCAATATGCATTTGGATTTGCAATTGCAGTTGTAGACTCTATCCACTGGATGAAGTACGTCTCTAAAACCTCTCCAAACTCCATATATATGTACTTATCAGCTGACCATAAGTAAAAACGTATACAGTTTACTTATTTTAAATGTTGTCCCTTATTCTGAAACCAATGCAGTCAATTTTTGGTGCTGCTACCGTTTTGATTGCCTGATTTGTGGAAATGAACATCTTGAATTTACTTAGAAGCTTCACTGTGCAAAGATGTTTCATAAATGGAAAATGTTACAAATAGATATCTGGGCATTGGAGGGAGAGATTAAGACATGAGTCCAAAACCTTGTCAGGAAAATTGAATTATGAGTGTGTTCCTCTTATACATTAATGATTTTTCTTTCTTTCTTCTATTTTTCTTTCTCCAGTTCTCAGTCTAATATTTCTCTTGATCCTTCTTTTATTTTTCTCTCTTCCTTTAGTTTTCCTTGATTCTATTCTCATTCATCCTCAATTTCTCTTTTTTCTCTCTTTTTCTTTCTCCATTCCTCTTGCATTCATCCTTCTTGATTGGGATTACTCATTCAGTAGACTGGAGTGTTTTCTTAAATGAGAGCAGAATTCCTCACCCTATCTTCTCCCACTGTTCTGAGGAGAGTCACCTTTATTAAAGTGTTGATCCTATAATAAGTACATAATTTCTCTCGTGTGTCAATCACCCATTGTTTTTAAATTAAAAACATCTGCTGACCTATTTAGTCTCATTCAGATGAAATGCCAAAAATAGTTTCATGGGAGAAAAGCAATTTAAATAAACTTTACTTCACACAACAAAAGCAAAAAAAAAGGTGGAAATAGAAATGTAGTTCTTCCTCCCAACGCCAGTGACTTTTGAAACCCAGCCATACTTGATACTGGTTATGTAATTCTGCAAAGTGAACCTCCCTTCCTCTTTTTCATTCCAAAATTGCAGGCCTCTTGCTAATAGAAGGCAAATAGTGAACTGTGGAACTCAGACAATACAGTCAAGTCAATGGGAATCATGTTAAATTGTACAGTACCTTACTCAGACAGAAGTTTGATGCTGTGTCCCACTCCTGGCCACTGAGGTATAAATTATAGATCAAAAACTTTCCTGTTCTGGAGGCAGTCAATCATACTGTTGTTCTGGAGTCACATGTAGGCCAGGACAGGTATGGACGGCAAATTTTCTTCCCTAAAAGACATTTGTGAACTAGATGAGTTTTTACAACAATGACTAATAATTTCATGACTATTATTGAGACACTAGCTTTCAATTCCAGATTTTTTAAAAGATTGAATTTAAATGTCACCATTAGCCAAAGTGACAGTTGAACCTGTGTCCTCACAGCATTAGCCTAGACTTCTGCATTATCGGTTCAGTGACATTACCACTACCCCAGTATCTCCCTGTAATGGTTCACTTATTGAGCAGAATCTTATGGGGACTGAATTATGTGAGCTATCTGGGAAAACTATGTGAGAAGTGCAGTCAGGCCTTTCTCAACATAGGGAGCAACTAGTTGCATTTTCCAGCAGAGGTCTTGGTGACAAGATGAGATTCCAAGTAGAAAGCAGTGAGATGCCTATCAATGGGCTTATTGCTTGTTGTCAGCCTCATTATGTGCAAATCTCACCTCACTAATATGCAGCTTTCTATCCTACATGCACCACAATGAAGCTAGATGCAAGAATTTGCAACCTGAAAGTCTGATGACTGCAGCTTAACATTCCTTCTCCACACCTCCATTTTGGACACCCAGTACCAGTATCTCCATATCACACTCTATGGGCAGCACAAGCATGCATCCTATGTCCAATGACTTTGGCATTGGGAATTTGTTAGTCTCGATGCATCATTATGGCACATCTCTGATCCAATTGAACTATGCAGCTGCATGATCATATTGCAGCCTGTGGTACACTGGCAACTCCATCACAAAGCTGCTGCAAGATACTTTATGCACAGGGGCTCATACCAACCTCACAGATTGCACCAGGCTGCATCTCAGGATTGCTCGGTTGCTCTCTTACTTCTCATTCAGTTTGATCCTATCAGGATACTCAAAGCATCCCTGCCTTGCCCTTTTGCACTTTTCCCCCACAGCCAGAGCTTCGAGATTCACAGTACTTCAGTCCTGCCTTACCATTTAGTGCAGAAACAAAGCCAGGAATCTAGTCATGATTGTCTGCAGTTATATAGTCACAGAGTCATACAGTACGGAAACAGACCCTGTGGTCCAACCAGTCCATGCTGACCATAATCCCAAACTAAACTAGTTCCACCTGCCTGTGTTTTGCCTATATTCCTCCAAACATTTCTTATTCATGTACATATCCAAATGTCTTTTAAACATTGTAACTGTCCCTGCATCCACCACTTCCTCTGAGAGTTCATTCCAGACATGAACCACTCTCTGTGTCCAAAAATTGTCCCCCATATCTTTTTTAAATCTTTTTCTTCTCACCTGAAAAACTTGCCCCCTAGTCTTGAAATCCCCAACCCTCGGGAAAAGACATCTGCCACTCACCTTGTCTATACCTGTCATGAATTTTTATAAACCTCTATAAGGTCACCCCCCAACCTCCTACTCTCCATTGAAAAAAGTCACTGCCTATCCAGCCTCTCCTTACAACTCAAACCCTCTACTCCTGGCAACATCCTGGTAAACCTTTTCTGAACCCTCTCCAGCTTAATAATATCCTTCCTATAACAGGGTGACCAGAACTGGACACAGCACTCCAGAAGAGGCCTCACCAATGTCCTGTACAACCTCAACATGAGGTCCCAACTCCTATACTCAAAGGTCTGAGCAATGAAAGCAAGCAAATAATCAAGGAAGATAGCCTTCAGTCAGAGGGTCCCAGCACAGTAAGTCAAGGGCAACCTCCACTCCAGGTCCAGTTGCTTGAACAATTATCACGCACTTTGGCAATCAAGGAAAATGAATCGAGAGAGATGGTATTGGGGAACAAGGAAATGGCAGAGGAGTTAAACAGATACTTTGCATCAGTCTTTCTAGTGGAAGATACTACAAAAATTCCATTAATACTGAAGGATACTGTGAGTAATTAAGTTTAATCACCATCACTAAAGAAGCAGTTTTAGACAAACTAATGGGCTAAAGGCAGGTAAGTGCCCTAGCCCCGGTGGCTTGCATCTTAGGATCCTAAAAGAGGTAGCTACAGAGACAATGGATGCATCGTTGTAATTTTCCAAAAAGTGTTGGATTCTGGAGAAGTACCAGAGGATTGGAAAACTGCTGATGTGACACCTCTATTCAAAAAGAGACAGAGGCAGAAAGCAGGTGGGTATAGACTGATTAGCCTAACATCTATTGTTAGAAAAGTATCAAAATCAACTGTAAAGGAAATAATAACAGAAGATTTGGAAAATCATAATCTAATCTAACAGAGTCAGCATGGCTTCATGAAAGGAAAATTGTGTCTCACTAATTTATTAAAGTGTTTTTGAAGAAGCCTCAGTTAGAGTTGTTGTATTTGGACTTTCAGAAGGTGTGCAACAATGTACCTCGCAAAAAGTTAAGTCATAAGATAAGAGCCCAGGGTGTTGGAGGTAGTATATTGGCATGGATGGAGAATTGACTAATGGCAGTAAGCAGCAAATGGGGATAAAAGATTCTTTTTCAGGTTGGCAATCCGTGACCAGTGGGGTTCCACAGGGATCAGTGCTGGGACTGCAAATGTTTACAATATATATTAATGACTTGGAGGAAGGAAGTGAATGTACTGTAGCCAAACTTGCAGACAACACAAAAATAAGTGGAAAGCTAAGTGGTGAGAAGAATGCAAATAGTTTATAGAGCAATATTGATTGGTTGAGTACATGGCAAAAAGTTGACAAACGGCATATAATGTGGGAAAATGTGAAGTTGTTCATTTTGGAAGTGAGAATTAAATAGAATATTATTTAAATAGAGAAAACTGCAGAAAGCTGCAACAAAAGGGACTTGGGGTACTGGGCATTCCTCTCGATGGCAGAGACAGCACCAACCTGAGCAACAACCCGGGATTAGGCTGCCAAAGGCTGGTGTCATTGCGTCCCTGGCCGGTCCTGAGGACAGCCTTGTCTGCATCACCCCGTCCACCAGGATCTTGAGGTGCCCGTACACAAAGCAATTGCCAAGTTCCTCTTATCTGCCATGACTGGTACAAATGTGCAGGGCAGCTCAGTCTGACAATGCTTGTCCAGTGGGTATTTTAAAGATGTTACTAGCTCCAGGGATATTGGTCTATTTGGGGTTATTTGGCTGATGTTGAGTTCTTCCAGCTACAGTGAGTGGGAGAATGCAGCTAACATTGGAGGACAGGGGCACCAAAGGAACAGGGTAGGTGGTTAATGAGGCATGTTTTGGATAATAGTGTGACAAACATCACTAGGCCTCACAAAGAGAAACCCTCCAAGAAACTCAGCAAAAATGACACTTTGCCAAAATATCATAACATTCAGCCTACTGTGCTGATCTTCAGGCTTTTAGATAATCATAAAATGAAAACCAATTATGCTTCTTGGTGTTGTAATTGATCTTGAGATGAGTTTTCATCCATATATCCCTGTCATAACCAATCTGCCTTTTTCTGTAGTTTGTTTGGTTTCACCCCTGCCTCAATTCAGGTTGCTGAAACCCTTACCATGCCTTTGTATCTCTAGACTTGACTTTTCCAATGGTCTCCTGATCAATCCATGATTTTCAAACTCCTCGAAGATGTGTGCATCCAAAACTATAGCATTAGTATGCCAATTCACACTTTCCTGCTCACCTCTCAGCTCTGTTAGCTGACCTACATTGACTCTTGGACAAAAATAGAAATTGCTGGAAGGGCTCAGGAGATCTGGCAGCACCTGCGGAGAGAAATCAGAGTTAACGTTTTGGATTGCGTTACCCTTCCTCAGAACTGATGGAAGCTAGGAAAACTTCAGTTTATGTGCAAAAAATAGGGTGGAGGAAGGAGGTAAGGAGTAAACAATAATGGGGGATACAGCCCAAAGGGAGAGAAGAGCAATTGCACAGGCAAAGGAGTGGGTAACAATCTGGATAGAAGGGTGAATAGCTATTAATGGGAATAGGTTAACATACCTGTCTCAGGCTTGCTGCAATACTCCAGCGAAGCTCAGTCCAAACTGGAAGAACAGCACCTCATTTTCTGGTTGGCAACCCTGCAGCCTTCCAGACTAAATATTGAGTTCAATAACTTTAGGGTTTGAGCTCTCAAATGTCCTTACCCCAAGCCCCACACACCAGGCCTTGTTATCACATAGTCTGCTATTACACACAACCCATTGTTAGCCACTAACAGGCCCCATTGATAGGTATTTACCCTCTTAGCCACATCGTTATCCACTCCTTTGTCTGTCCAACTGCTCTTCTCTCTCTTTGGGCTCTATCCCCACCTATCGTTTAGTCTTTATCCTCTCCCCCCACTCTTTCTTTTGCATATAAACCAACATTTTCCTAGCTATCATCAATTCTGAGGAAGGGTCACTCGGTCTGAAACGTTAACTCTGATTTCTCTCCACAGATGCTGCCAGACCTGCTGAGCTTTTCCAGCAATTTCTAATTTTGTCTCTGACTTGCAGGATTCGCAGTTCTTTTGGTTGTTACATTGACTTTTGGTCTGACAATGCTTTAATTTAGAAACTCTCAACCTGCTTTTCAAATTTATGTATGACTTAATGTTTCCCAAACTCGTTAATCTCCTGCAGCTCTGAGATCTTTGTGCTCCTCTCTTTCTGGCCATTTTTCACATTCATGTTTTAATTGCTCTATGCAAAGATACCTTCAGCTCCTTGGAGACTAAACTATCTTTCCCTCTTCTTTAGAAAGTTATTTAAAACTTATTCATCGATTAAGTATTTGGTCATCAGATCTAATATTTCCTACATGCCTTGGTGCCAAATACTGGTTAATAACACTCCTGTGAAGCATCATAGTACTTTAAGGGATCTATATAAATGCAGCAATTCTACTGCCTTTCTCATTACCAAAATCACTCCTTTGTCTTTGGGGTATGGTTCAATAGGAGGCAGCTATTCTCCAATAATTCATTAAAAGGGTCACTATGCGTTTATACCTGGTTTTTCACAACCTCAGCACATCACAAAGCACTCCAAAGCCAATGAACCACTCTTGAGTGTCACTTATAGT